GAGTGCATGGATAAACAGAGGAATGAATGACTCCTCTCCTCTGTTTTCTTGGGGATATGCGTCCGGCGTCCCCTGTAGCTGGGGAGGGCTATGTTTCATGCCAAGTGATACAATTTGGCTGTGTCCCCATCCAAACCTCATCTTGAATTGTAGCTCCCATAATCCCCATGTATTGTGGGAGGGACCCAGTGGGAGATCACTGAATCGTGGGGGCAGATCTTTCCTGTGCCATTCTCGTGTTAGTGAATAAGTCTCACAAGATCCGACGGCTTTATAAAGGGGAATTTCCCTCCGCAAGTTCTCTTCTCTTGTCTGCCGCCATGTAAGATGCGTCTTTCACCTTCTGCCATGATTGTGAGGCCTCCCCAGCCATGTGGAACTGTGAGTCCATTAAACTTCTTTCTTTTGTAATTGCCTAGTCTCAGGTATCCTTCATCAGCAGTGTGAAAACGGACTAATACACCAAGATATGCTTTTACCTGCTGTCTTAACACATGAAATAGACCACGAGCCTAGCCCAGATCAAATTGGTAATGAACTTTGAGCCTCTTCCATGAGCAAGGTACCACAGGGGCAAAAAGACCAAATAGACCCCTGGTCCTTCGCTCTAGGGCTAGACATCAAAGGATATCAACACACTGAGTTCTTTTTGTTGACTCACCAGAACCACACTTAGGTTTCAACTCAACAGTAGCCTGAATTACTGTTTTAAAAACTGTACACATATATCACCTAATTCATATGCATTAAAAATCCAGGGAGAGGATAGCCCCCAGGGTGTTAGCAGAGTTCTCTCTGGCTACTGGGATTAGGAGGTTTTATAAGGTTTTTTTTTTTCCCTTGCTGCTTATCTTTCTTTCCTAATTTTTCCTCCAACAAATGCATGTTCCTTTTGTAAACTGAGAAGAAAAGGAAGAAATGAAAACGCCTCTGACTTGTGACTGGAGTAAAACCAGACGTATATGTTTGTTCTGTAGACAGTTTGGAAAATACTGAGCCGGTGGGGAACTGAAATGAGAAAGTGGAGTCTGAACCAAATTCATACTCCAAGTAGCTCAGCCTTGCTCTAGAGACTTCATGGTGGTTACTCTTTGAGGACTGGAAGCATTTTTGCACCTTCTGTCTTTTCAACAAGGTTTAGCCCACTCTGGTCCTCTTTGGAAGTGGGCACACAACAAATGCTTGGTGATTGCTGAAAAACCTAATAACACTCTTGGCCCAGGAAAGTTCGGTCCCTAATGAGGAAGACAGAGTTTACTGCTCAATTTTTTTTTTCTTTCTAATAACTGTGTAGCTGGTAAGAGAAAAAAGGGCAGGTAGATGCGTGGTAGGCATAACCTCCACCTCAAATGGCTGTGTTCTTTCCACCCATGGGCCCCACAGCCCAAGAGGGCACAGGAAGGGAGGCTGAGGACACTGGGAGGAGGGCTGTGTAAGGCAGTCAGCCAGGGTGACATGTGGGGGGCACTGCTCCCTTCTGCCATTGAGGCTGAGTCAACCTTGGACCTGTGGGTCAGGTCTGATCCTTGGTGAAGGGAGATGGAAAGATAAGGAGAAGGAGATGGAGATGGAGGTAAGAGGAAGAGGAGGCTGGGAAGGTATCTGAGCATGGAAACTACCTGGCCATGGTGTAAGACAACACATGTAGAAGAGAGAACAGGCATAGAAATGTTTTGAACTCAGGTTGTAGTCTAACGTTAGGAATTACTGGATCTGCTACTTTCATGGGGGAGATGGAGAAACCGGATTGCAGAAGGGGGATGGAATTTCCCAAGGTTGTGTTTTGAGTGACACAGCCTGGCTGCAACCCAGCTTTGTCTGAAGCTAAACCCAATGCTTGTAGACACAGAGCTATGCTAGCTTCTCAGAATAATAATGGCATTTGTGAACCTCCCCGTGAGGACTCTGCTGAAGGTTTTACATAAATTATCTCCATAGGTTGTAGTCCTAACCTAACCCCATGAGGCAGGTGTTATTCCTATCCAACAGATGAGGAAACTGAGACTCAAAGAGTTCAGGTCATTTGCCAAGGTCATATAGCTAAGATATATGAGGCAGAACTGGTATTCTACCTCAGTCTATTTGATACTAGGGTCTTAACCACTAAGCTACACGGCCTCTTTGGAAGTGGAAGGAACAAAGGCTGAGGAACAAGGGAATCGAAGTTTTCCAAGCTCCTGAGACAAGCCTTGTACTCATTCCACCCACACAAGAGCCCTGAGGGGGAACTTTTCATCCTCCCATCCCTCCAATGAGGAAGTAGTGGCTCAAGAGGATGAATGACTTGCCCAGTAATCTTCTGTGCCAGGACATGCAGCAGGAGCTGGGTCCAGTTTGCCCAAAGCCACTGGGCCTTCCACTGCTTCCCCCTTTTCTGAGAAGGCTTCCAGCACTGGGCCATCCCAGCACATGCCCAACTAGCCCACTATTCAGACTGCTGCAGGTCAAGGGTTTGCAGAGTGTAGAATTTGCAAAAGTGAAGATACTGAGACTTGCTAGAACCAGGATTCTGAGACGGGAGTTGCAAACTATGGCCCACGGACCAGATGTAGCCCAAAGCCTGTTTTTTGCATGACCCATTAGCTAAGAATAATTTGATACTCCTTTAAATGGTTGAAAATTTTCAAAAGAAGAGTAGTATCTTGTGCCATGTGAAAATTATATGAAATTCAAATGTCAGTGTTTACAGTAAAGTCTGATTGGAAGACAGCCATACCTTTGTTTGCAAATTGTCTATAGATGCTTTCATGTTAAAATAGCCGAGTTAAGGAGTTGTAACAAAGACCATATGGCAAAGCTGAAAATATTTACTATCTAGCCCTTTACAGAAAAGGTTTGCTGACCCCTGCTCTAAGAAATCACGGTGGAGCCAATAGAAATTGGGCTACTTAAACTAGAAGGGCTTTCTTCAATTTCAGCCATTCTCCTCTGCATTGGGGTGTGGTTAAGGTCAAATGGATTTTCCATTCATTCAGTTGCTCACTCAGTCAACCATTTATGCTTCTATGCATGTGCTGAGCTAACACTTCCAGAGCCCTGCCAGGCACTGTGCCAGGTGTGGGGATACTGAGTCTGGTGAGCAGGCACACATTACTTGAGAAAGTGCCAGCAAGTGTCATAGGTCCAGGGACAAGGTTCTGCTTAGGATTGAGTTGGGCTAAAGAGGGAGAAGGAACTTGAACTCAGGCCAGTGCAGATGCAGCCAAATAAGGGAGTTTATCTGCAAGCCTGTGTTATGCAAGGTGGAGACAGACTGAACTACCCGCTGCCACCCATCAGGGAGAGGCGTGCCCCAGCCACACAATCACTCAAACGTGGAAGCATATGTCAAGTCCATGTTTTCTGCCTCTTCCTTTCCCTAACTCTCGGCCCATACTCCTATATCACACCCTCACAGAGCCTTCCCAGGCAGCTCCTGGACATTAAATTAGCTGGACAAATGTTCACCCAAGTGAGACAAATCCAAAATTGCTTTAGAATGCCGTTCTTACAGACCACTGACTTCAAAACGGCCATCGGGAGAAAATGACCTGACCCACTGTCACCACATAGGGAATCACTGTAACTGAATCAAAAGCCACAAGTGTGACCTATGTCTGCGCACACAGGTATGCACATGGGCATTCTTGTTTCTGAGTGCAAGTGTATGTCTGCCTCTGTGACTATATGCACACATGAACACATGCAAAGACATGTCAATGTATGCATGTGCATGACTGTAGGTGCAAGTGTGTGCACATATGTATGTGCATTCACATGTGTAGGGGTCTTTGCATTTATGTGTACATCTATGTCTATGTATCTATATGTTTTTTTGTGACCTGACTTGGGGACAGCAATATGGGTACCATCATGCCAACTGCAGAACTGACCTTTCTCATCCCTCAGAAAGCACTCTGGGTCTGCATTTTCCCTGGACTCTGAAATGCTCCAACAAGAAAACCAATTCTTTGTCTAAAACTGGAACTTCAGGTTGCCTAGGGGTGGGGGAAGTTGGGAGGAGGGTAGTGGGGAATGACTGGTAATGGGTATCAAATGGATTCTGTTTTTTGAGGAGAGAAAATGTTCTAAAATTAGATTTTGGTGATAGTGGCACAATTTTGTTAACATACTAAAAACTGTGTGTACACTTTGAGTAAACTTTAGGGTATATACATTATATATCAATAAAGTTGTTTTAAAAAAGAAAAAAACAAATTGAAGTTTACAAAAATCCCAACTCACTTCTTCCTGTTGCTTTTGCTGAGGAGCCCTGAGCTGGGCAATGGGTAAAAATAAAACACCCTGATTTCACAGCTTTGTCAACCAGGGAAGGAATTTCCTCCAGTTTCAACAACCCATGCCTCTGCTGGCCTGACAGCAAAGAACATTTCTGTGCTTTGCCCTTGAAGCTTTGTAAATAGAACTTGAAGGACCTACGAGATTTGAGGAGGCCTCGGGGTGGGGTGGGGGGGCAAGATACTGGGGTGGACATTGAGAGGAAAACAAACTACCATTTCACTATCCCAAGAGGAATGGAGAAAAATTGAAGCCAGGGGAGTGTGCTGGCAGGAATCATTTCTTTTAGAAGGAGGAACAGAAATGAGAGTGGAGAGGGGAGAGAACTTATTAGGGGAGACAGTAGCACCTAGAGGTTAGGAGCTTGGAATTTGAAGTCAGAGCCAGGTTTCAGACCCAGTCTTGATACTCTTTACCTATAAGCTTTTGGGAAAGTTGCTTAAAATCAATGCAGGTAGACAGACCAGAATCTATGTCATAGGTCTGGAAGGGTTAAATTAGAAGATCCATGTGGCAGAGACAACACCAGTGTTCATCAGATCTTGCTCCATGTTGCTCCTAGGCACTCGGGAGACTACGCTTTTCAATCTCTTTGCAGTTATGTTGCATATGTGACTGACCCTGGCCAATGAAAAGTAGGATGTTTTTGTTGGCCTGGTTGGGGTATTTTAAAGTGCATTGCTCAATTCCCACTTTCTTTTCTTGTGCCACCCATGACCAAGGAGGCTCCAGGATGATATGCAGACCCACTAGATCAGAACAGCCTGAATCCCTGAGTGACTGCATGGAAGACAGCTGCCCTGGAGGATTGCCCAACCTAGAGCCAACTTTACAGGAGTGAGAAATAAATATTCTGAGTATTGAGAAATAAATGTTTACAGAGATTTTAGGGTTGTTTGTCATTGCAGTATAAGCCTCTCCCATCCTACCTAAAAGGACATGCAAAGAGGTTGGATCATTAAAAGCACTCAGTAAATATTGACAATTATGGCTGATTGGTGGGCCCCAAAATACAAAGTGAGTGAGGCCATGAGAAGAGAAGAGAGACAGGGACAATAGCAAAATCAACAAAAATAAGATACTGTAGCTAGGATCAAACTTCCACAATAAACATCACTATTTTGGGAAACCAAACTCTGGGATGGGAGTTGTATTTTCCTTTGTGTTGAAAAAACATAGTTCTTTTCCAAACACCCACAAACACTTACCTCTATTTGTACATAAATGGCCAGCACAATGATTTTAAAAACCAACAGGCAAATGGGAATCTGTGCTTGGTGAGATTCAATTTCATGTTTTTGTTAACAGCTTTCTCCTACTTCTCACAGAAAGCAAACCACTCTAGGGACGTGACCTCACCTCTCAATCATTTAAAAACAGAAAATAAATGTCCAGAGAGATTAAAAACATAGGTTCTGTGCCCCAAAACGTCATGTGACAATGTTGCATCTTCATGGGAAAGATGAAAACTCCATGTAATCCTATTACGATTATTTCCATTAGCCACCAAGCCTCACCTTGGTAATCTGTTTCAATTGAAAGTCCTGTCATTCCCCAAAACCCAATTTAGAAGGTGCAGGGACAAAATATAAGTTTGTGCCAATTTCTCAAAGATGGGCAAAAATCATCACTTGAGTTCATTTGGGATTCTTTTTTCCCTTAATCTCTTAACTCTAGGGCACTAAAAGAATTCTTTCCCAATGTTCACCTAGGTAATCTTGTCCTCTCAGGCCTCCTTAAATTCCATAGGAACTCTAGCTTCTATCTGTGAAGTTTTGAGGGTGAAGATATGGGGATCTTAATAAGCAAATGCTCAGCTGCCTGGATATCCAAGGTTCCTGTGCTTTTGGATGCTCTGGGAAAGTTAGTAGGAGGGGGTGACTGGAACTGGTGCCACAGTGTATACAAAAAGAGTCAGGATCAGCCAGACTGTTCAAACAGCCCAGCACCAGAATCTTTTTAAAAAATCTTTGTTAAAATTTCAATAGCTTCGGTGGCTCACGCCTGTAATCCCAGCACTTTGGGAGGCCGAGGCGGGCGGATCACAAGGTCAGGAGATCGAGACCACGGTGAAACCCCGTCTCTACTAAAAAAAAAATTACAAAAAATTAGCCGGGCGCGGTTGTGGGCGCCTGTAGTCCCAGCTACTCGGGAGGCTGAGGCAGGAGAATGGCGTGAACCCGGGAGGCGGAGCTTGCAGTGAGCCGAGATAACGCCACTGCACTCCAGCCTGGGCTGGGCGACAGAGCGAGACTCCGTCTCAAAAAAAAAAAAAAAAAAAAAAAAAAAAAAAAAAAAATTTCAATAGCTTTTGAGGTACAAGTGGTTTTTGGTTACATGGATGTATTATACAGTGACAAATTCTGAGATTTTAGTGTACCTGTCATCTGAATAGTGTATGTTGTACCCAATATGTAGTTTTTTATCCCACACTCCCCCCTCCCATTTTCCCCCTTCTGAGTCTCCAAAGTCCATTATATCACTGTATGCCTTTGCATATTCATAGCTTAGCTCCCACTTATAAGTGAGAACAAATGGTATTTGGTTTTCCATTCCTGAGTTACTTAATAATGGCCTCCAGCTTCATCCAAGTTGCTACAAAAGACATCATTTAGTTCATTTTTATGGATGAGTAGTATTCCATAGTGTATATATACTACATTTTCTTTATTCACTCATTGGTCAATGGACCAGAATCCTGACTTTGTGTCAGTCCTTATGCAGTCCTCTCACCAATGTGGAAGCTATCACATCATGTTGACCACACTGAAGGTGGGTGGGGAATAGCTGGTTCCATTGTCCCTCAAGGAAAAAGGTTTAACTCAAACCCAAGAGGCAGAACATGGTGGATGTTGCCCTCCCTCCAAGACCAAAACCCAAATGTTTTGCTTTCATGCCGTTGTATTTTTAACCAGATCACCCCAGCCTCTTGCTCAAACAGAATTGTGCTTCTGTTGCTTACACCCATGGAACCCTGGGCAAATAATAACATTTCCTGGAGTCTGATCTGTAAAACAGTGACAATCATATTCTCCTCTCAGGTTGCAAGCATCTAATAGTGTAAAGTATGTATAATGTGCTCGGCACACTGCATAGCACCTGAAAAGGTTCAACTATCCACTCTTATTTTTAATATTACTCATCCAGGAGGGTCAAGATACATTAGGCTTTGGTGTCCCTCACTGCACATCCCCCAGTTGGCACCATTTGCTCCAACTCAACTGAGCTATTTGAAGTTTTCCAAATGTGACTTCTGTCACCTTCTTGGTCTGTGCTGTTCCATACACCAAAGAACACCCTTCCTTTAATCCCCATTTCTTCCAAAATGTCTTATTCTACAAGAAACAGCCCATTTCACCAGTCAGGCAGTCTCCTTCTCTGAGTTCTCTTCATGGCCTTTGCACACCTCTGTTTCAACACTTCCTTCCTTATATAATGACTCCTCAATTTTTGGACTATCTTCCCTATGGCTGGGAGGCTACTGAGGGCAGGCATGTCTTATAAAGCACCGCAGCTCCAGTACCTACTACCTCCTGGCTATGCTGGATGAATGACCGGACAAGTGAACGAATGGATACACCAATTATTAACAAAGTCATTTCTGAACATTTTGATCAGGGACACAGATCTTGATCCTCTATGACTAAGAAAGAATCTTCAAAGTTGATACACATGTCACCAGTATTGGGCCCAACAAAACATCTTCTCTATCAAAATTAGGAGCTAAATGTCAAGGCTCTCAGATGCAATTTCATAAATTATTTCAACTAGGCAGCTTGGAAGAATTAGACTATGGATTTTATTGGTTCTCCATATTATATGTTAATACTCTTTTTTGGCAGCCTGAAAATGACATTTCTGTTTCCAGCCAATATCACCTCTTTCTCTACTTAGCAAACATCGATATATTTTTTTCTTGAGTTGTTAATTTCAGGTTGCAATTTCCATCCCTGTTTGGTGCATGCATGTGGCAGTCTGTTTGCTTCAGAGATTGAGAAATAAAATCCTCTGGGTGTCAGAAGAGTTTTGGGTCACCCATAAGTCTGTTTCCTCCCAGCATAGTTGCCAAGACCACACACCTTTTTAGAGAATAAATGTAGTAGCCAGGAAGTGACAGAGATGGGGCTGCACCAAAGTCTATAGGATTCCAGAGTGCTATGCAGTTCTGCCTCTGAGATGGGAGGAAAGAGAAATTTGGTTTGGCATGGCTCTTTCTGGGAATAGTTCAGTGGTTCCCAGTCCTGGTTCCATAATAGGATTGCCTGGAGGGAGGTAGGTAGGTAGGTAGATAGACAGATACATACAAACATACATCATACATACATACATACATAATACATGATTATACATATACATATAATACATGATTTTATATATATATACACATATATATATATATGTATATATATATATAAAATCCACCCCAGATGGACTGATTCAGGATCTTTTGGGGTGGAGGGTGGAGCCCAGGCATCACTTAGACTTCAAGAGCTCCCAGGTAATTCTAATGTTCGGCCAAGGTTGCGAACCACTGGAAAAGCTGAAGACACTCATTTTGATTCAATAAAGGAAAAAAACTCTCATTTTCATTAAAATTCACCTGAAAAACTATTTGCCCCTCACATCCGCTTTGCATTTTTCTGTTTACAAAACACTTTCACCCACATGGTTTAATCTACTGCCTGAACTCTGTGGGATGGGCAGCAGCACGTCCGTTCTACACAGCAGGAAGCTGAGGATCACAGAACCCAAGTGACTTCAGCACCAGGATGGCAAACTAGGTCTTCTAACCTAAAATCCAAGAAGCTTTCCTGAAATGAAAGGACCAGAGATCTTTAAGTCACTTAAAGGAGGCCATGGCCATTCATCTCCCATAAAGGAATGAGTTTAAGGGTCCTGGTTTTGAGACTTGACTCCAAAGGACATTCATTCTTTCTAGGGTTGACCAAAGGCTTTTACTAGGCTACTGAAACAGCAACATAGAGCCAAATGTCAAATTCAGACTGGATGGGGCAAAGAGAGGCCAAGACATACTCCTTAGAGATCATTCTGAGATAAAGTGAAGGCTTCTGGAGTTGCAAAGCGGGGGCTGTGAAGGCTGGATGGTGTCCTTCTGTCACCAGCAGCCCCATTTGCCTTCAGACAGTGAATGTGCTGAGGCTTTTATTCTGGTTGGTTTTCTTGAGGGGGTTAAACCGATCCCCCTGCGATCTTGTTTGAACTACTGATTTGCTTAGCAAACACTTTCTCTATAAATAATGAGTAAGTAAACTCCAGCCTGCTGCTGATTGCTGATAAATTATTATGAGTTGGGAGTTAATGGGGTATAAAGTAGGCAGTGAGCAGCCCCCACCCCCACTCCTATTGGAAATCAGGCTGAACTACCTCAGGGCCTGCTAAATTGGCACTTTCTTTCCCTGTCCCCATGGCCCAAGCCTATCCTCTTCCCCTCCATTTATATCCCCTTCCAGACTGAGATAAAAAGCCACCCTCCCTTGTCATCTTCCCAGGGTCTTAGACCTCTACACTCATCAGCAGCCTTGAGTTCCACAAAAGTTACATCCAAAGGGAAGGAAACCTGCAGGAAAAGACAATTCTGATTATTTTAGTCATGCTGCCCGTATTTTCCTTTGAGGGGTAGTCTGTTTTATGTTTATATCTGGGAATGTGATCCATAGATGTGCAGTTTGCTAAAATTCCCATCTACTGATGCTCCCCTAGACTTACTTGTTGTTGGCGCTAAACACGTGATACCAGAATGATGCTGACCACAGCCTTTCCATGCTACCGGCCATCATGCCTTGCCTCAAGGAGTTGGCTTTAATTGTGACACACTGCCTGCTTCCATCATATCCCAGAAGAAAAGCCCCACTCATGAACTTCT